CCCCCTCATGCTCTTGGGGTGGCCCCTCCGCTTCCTCTCTGCACCTCGGGTCTGTCTACTCTCCTTCCTCTACCTCCAGCTTCTGCTGGAACATGCTCCATGCTTTCTGCACCCCTCTCTGGTTAACTTCTCAGGCTCTCTCAGGCCTTTCACAGGACAGCTTCCTGCAGGAGTGATATGCACTCAATGCCCCTGTTCCTCACCATTGCCAAACCCTCAGTCTCATTGTGACTGGAAATTTTCTTCACCAATATTGGTTGGATGACTAAATCAATGAATCCAAAATTAAGGATAATAATTTAAAAGTTTGGTTCATTGATAGTGTGGCAGCTGTATCAAACATTTACATATCATCATGCAATTTAGTTAACAACTTTGGGAACCATTCATATGGGGATTTCAAGCAGGCTAGTTGAAGAGAACAGACATTTTGGATGGAAGTGTTAGGGGACCTCTTTTGGTCAAAACCAGCTCTTAAGCACTCAAGTTATTTCTCTGGTAGAGGAGCCACAAACTCAGATTATACTTACACAGCAGGCTCTAGAGCTACGAAGAACAATAGAGATNATTAGATTTGCAGTTTTCAGGACACAGAGAATTGAGAAATGATCTAAGGAAAATTTCTACCTCTTGCCTGGGGTAGACAATTTGAGAGATTTAATATGAGGCAATAGATTAAGGAGGCTAAAACTTTGTTTTTCTGGCCTAATTTCTTTTCCATAATCAACTTTTTATACGTAATAGGAATATGCAATCAAGCCACATAGTCACTGTTCTGGTGAACAAGACCTTTTCTGAATCTGACCATAGGGACACCTGGCATTTACTGCACATAATCAGATACCTGCAGTAATTCCTATTCCATGAAAGTATAAATTGCATTATAAAAGGTATCTATTGTCTTGGGAAATGTCATATTCCCCTTGACCATGGAAGACGCTTGTGCTATATATGACTGGTCGTATCAAAAAAGTCTGTAATCCAGGATTTAGCCTTAATCTTTTCCCAGGGCCTGGGTCACTTCACCAAGCATTTATCTACTGCCTATTCTGTGCTAGGCATTGTCATAAGTACTGGAGATTTTAAGACAACCTAAACACTATTTCTGCTCTCAACAAGCTTGCAGAATATAGAAAGACAAATAAAAACTCAAGGCCATGACCTGACCTCTCCTAAAAAGGCTTTTTTAACTTAAATCATTAATTTCCATCTCTTTTACTGGCACCAGTTTTCAACTCCAATCTCCATAGCTGGAGACCTGAACATTTTGTGGGATATGCTCTATGCTCACTCCCTTCTGGACATGCCTTTGAATAAATTATTCTAAGAACCTATAGCATGAAACCCTTTTTAAGATTTTGGCTACTGAGGCTCCTTCACACCCAAAAGCTGTGTGAGTTTTTCCAGCAAAAGTGGTCTCAATCCCAGGTCCTCAATCTTGGCAGCACATGTCAGAAGTCAGCAGGAAAGAGCCTTAAGCATCAACCTCCTAGCCAATTCTGATATTTATACAGAAGAGGCTCTTGACAGTCACTATGTATCAGAATCGTGAGGGAAGTTTAAAAAATTATACTGCTAATTCTCACCCGCAGACAGCCCAGTTCGGTCCATCTGAGAATGACTTTGCCCATTGATGTTTTGTTTTGTTTTGTTTTGTTTTTAAAGATGGCCGGTAAGGGGATCTTAACCCTTGACTTGGTGCTGTCAGCACCACGCTCAGCCAGTGAGCGAACCGGCCATCCCTATATGGGATCCGAACCCGGGGCCTTGGTGTTATCAGCACCGCACTCTCCCGAGTGAGCCACGGGCCGGCCCTTTGTTTTGTTTTTTAATTTTTCAGATCTCTCTGGGTCATTCTAGAGCATAGTCAGGTTTGAGAACTGCTCTATACAGAACTTGAGAGGGGTGAGGTGTTTTCTTAGCATCAGTAATGCTCAGCTGATGTTGAAAAGTACTGAGTGGGCATCTTTCTCTATTCTGCTTTTTGAAACCCTGAGCACTTGGTATTTCGATCCCTCTTATGAAAGTGACTTAATACGCGTATGGCCTGCTCCTCGACTCATTCGTTCTGTCTTTCTGTCCTTGCGTAAAGCCCTACCGTTACTCTCGTAGTTCTTCACGATGCTTCACGCAGCCTAATAATTTGCAGAGTGTTTAATGCATGTTGTTGGTTTCCTATGTTCACATTTCTCAAAAGGAAAATTCAAACTTTTGCCAGGTGGCACTTTACCTGATCTTAATTTTTTCTGGTCCCAGTAAGAGTCAGACAAGTTTTCCACGAATTGATTGTAACTTGCAGAAAGACAAAGATACCTTTCATTTTGGAGGATTTCATGTATAACTCTTACATATCTATCATATGGTGAACCCAGTGAGGCATTAGTCATCAGTCCACAAAGAAGATCAATGTTGACCATTCCCTGTAAAAATCAAGACTCCAGTTACGCTTCAAAGAGTATACATAGGATGGTTTTTGGTTCGGAACTGAACTGAATTAATCTCCAAAAATTCTTCATAATGCTTAAAATGATCGCTTTTACTCAGGTAGAATGCAAATATTGTTTGGGCACTTGCCTGGAGATCCATGCCTGAAAACTACCCACTTGCCTGAGTGGGTTACAAAGTCTCCTAGAAGCAAGTCGATATCCCTTGTGCATGGCACAGAGCTCATAAAGCACTTGTTTTACAAGGGCTTTTTGGCTTTCAGGTATTTGATTTTGAAGGATTTACAAATAAAAAAGCTTTCATTGAACATCTACTGTGTTGCCAGGACCATGCTGGGAGGGAGGTGCAAAAGATTTGAAAGAACCCTTGGAAGGCTCCAGTCAAAGAAGACAAAACACATGTGAGATGAAAACAGCAATGAGCTTCCCTGGGGATTCCCAAGAGAGGGAGGATAATGAGAGCTGGACTCACAAGGAAGGGCTTTTCGGAGGAGGTAGGGATTGAGGTGAGCCTGGAAGGTGGGGCAAGACTTAGATCAACAGGGATGGTAAGAGTGCACTTCAGGTACAGGAACTACGTGTCTGAAGAAGTGGCAAGGATGTGCAGTGTCCAAGAGGATGGTCACACTGGCCCACCTGTGTGACCTTAAGCCGTAGCTCAACCACTGAGCCTGTGCGCTCATGCACTCTCGGTGGAGACAATAGGCGTAAGTTACCCAGCAGAACTCAGACACTTTGAGGATTAAAAGAGATCAGCCCTCAGAACAGTGTCTAGAACAAGGGGCATGGAATAAAAAGTTGCATTGTTATGATAATTATTATTACTATTACTATTACTCAGTCTAGAGAGGTATTCAACAAGAAAGGAGTGGAAATAACTATCGACGGTAGAATGTGGCTAGATTATGGAACACTGTAAATTTGAGGAGTCGAAATAATAAGAAATAATAAGGATCATACCAATAAGTTTTTGAACAGGTGGATAACAATAAAAAAGATAGCCAAGGAGGATCAGCCCAGGAGGTAGGGGTTTGGGGTGTATTTATGAGAGTAGAGGGACATTCTGACATTGTATTATTGACCAAGTTATTGACTTAAAGACATCCTTTCACAAAGGAATAACCAACTGAAATACCATCATCCACCCAGAAAGGGATTTGGGCAGAAATCCATGACTTTTTTCACCTCATTTGTTAAAAATTCCTTCTCAGTTATTCTTAGAAAGAAAAATATGTTTTGCTAACAATATACTTATTAGGAACTGAAAGTGTCTCTTCTGAATATCCCTTTGGGCAAGGATATTATAGTCTTATGACAAGCTAATATATCTATTTCTAGAGTTTTTTGGAGAGGTTGTTTCGGTTTGGTTTGGTTTGGTTTTTCAGGAGGGAAAGAGAGAAAGTGACTTGACAGTAAAATACTCCTTCACGACAGAAACAGGTTTTAATTAGGAGACAGTGGGGTGTCCATTGAGCTAAGCAGTAAACCAGGGCTTTGTGGGGCCTGACCCCAGCTCTGACAACCATAGCTCAGCTTCCCCTCGCTGGGGGAGTCCACTGCTAGTCATCGCATTAACTGCAGGCTAACCTGCAGACGACGTCATGGCCTTCCAGTCACATGCCATCCTGCTTCCACCAGCAAATGCAGAAAACTAGAGCTAAACCCGGCAAGGCTGGGGAAAGCTCTGTATTACTTTCCTGCTTAATAATTCTCTCTACGCCCGTCATTTTGATTCACCCAGCAGAAAGTGCTCAGATCAACATCCCTTATCTCCAGAGAAAAGAGTCTCAGAAATTACAAAGTACCTCAAACCAATTTCCTGTACTTTTGTGTAGAAAAAAAAATTACCCTGGACGGAGGAATGCAAACTAGGTTTCTGCCCAGTTACATTTAATGCAATATTCCTCACCAAAGCCCTAGAGACAGGACTCAAACACACATGCACAGAGAAGCTTCCATATTTTCCTCTCTCATCTGAATGCCTAAATTTTACACTTTTGGTTTATTATCAGCATCAGAAGAATAAAGGGCCTTTGCAGGAATATTTTTAAAGGAGGGATAAAGCTCACTATTTCCAATTTGCTACTTATTTAAAAAAGTATAAAAGTTTTAGTGTGAATAAGGGTCAAATGTGTTGACTGAATTATACTTTTCAAATTATACTTGTAGAATTGTCTGTGGACTTCGGTATCCTTAACGCCACCTGTGCAGAGAAAATCTGAAGCTGACTGCCAGTACATAAAGGGTTGCTAGAGAAAGGAGAAGCGATAAAAGGAAAAGTAATCATCCTAGATGTGTTATTACTTCTCACATGCAATAAGGCTTTCTTACTGTGGGGTTAAGAAATGGTTAGCACAGGGCCGGCCTGTGGCTCACTCGGGAGAGTGCGGTGCTGATAACACCAAGGCCCCAGGT